ACTGTATATAGTATTTTATTTATTCTATCCTGTACAGTTGTGTACTGTATTTATTCTTATTGTATCCTAATTTTTGCCTCATAACTTTTGCACTGTCCACTTCCTGCTGTGACAAAACAAATTTCCCACGTGTGGGACTAATAAAGGTTATCTTATCTTATCAGTGTGATCACCAGTTTAGCTTTCCGGGGTGAGCAATACTTTAGCTCAGTGAGATGAGCAGCAGTTCTCAGAGCAGAAGGGTAAGGTTCGAATCCCCCTTATGGCAACATTTATTTCAGTTAACAGTTTAACTGTTTTTACTCTTTTTAACACAAATTTTAGCTTTTTCACCCCTTTTCAGCAAAATTTTCAGTCACTTCACCTCTTTTCAGCACAATTTAGCTTCTTCTGCACAGTGCACATTTTTTCTCTCATCATATCATTGTTTGAGACCAGAGCTGGTTTGGCTCAGTGGGATGAATCGCCGCCGTAAGATCTGGTGGCAAAGGTTCAAACCCAGCATGTGATATTTGCTGCACATCTTCCCTGCTTTCTTGACACTCTTCAGTCTAGTCTTTCAAATAAAGCAGATTTCTGCATAGAGTTCAGCTTGTACACAGTGTTTTCAGCAGATAGTTCTCCTTCTTCTGCTGTTTTCAGATTCCACTGCACAGCATTCACAGTGCACTTTTGCAGGAAATGCAACTTTTTCTAGTTAGAGAGAAAGAATCTGTCTCTAATTCCATTAAAAATGTGTTTTCTTGAGCAGTATTTGAACTGTAAATTTGTACTCATGCTCTAATCTTTCACATAACATCCATAACATGTGTGTGTAACTTCATCTACATTTACTTGAGCAAGCAGAGTGTCTTTTAGTGTTACAGACACATCAGCAGTAACCCTGTTCCTCTTCACAGTTTTAAATATAGACCTAAGTGTGCTGATAAAAAAAATTGTAAAGACTACAATGTTTGCCACTCCCTCCTTCTTACTGTTTATCTCTCACAGAAGTATTTGCACACTTCCTGTTGTTAACCACACTCGTTTAGTAATACATACTCCCTGTTTCTACTTTTTTCCCCCCACGCTCTAACATTCTCTCAGTTAACGTTAACATTGTCTGTTTTTGATGCTGTTACATTGGAGTTTATTTTGTTATATTGATACTTGCTACTTTTATTTTATTAAAAATCATTTGTAAGGGTGGAGAAAAGTTGTTGCATTGCTACACTAAAGCGGATTCTAACATTTTCAAAGGCATATCGGACATAGTGAAGACATGGATTTGGACAAAAACACTTACGTTAATATGGCAGTTACATTGTGTATAAAGGAGAATATGAACTAAATTTGAAAAGAGTCAAAAGCAGAAGTACATTCCTAATAATGTACTAAGAAAAAGTAGACTCCTGTAAAACTAGAATAGTGTGACATCTAGTGGACAAAAATGTAAACTCAAATTAACACAAACCTTGCAAGCACCAGCTGATAATGATGTGTGTGTGTGTGTATATATATATATATATATATACGTGTGTGTGTGTGTGTGTGTAGCTGTGTAGTCTTGTAGCTGTTAATAACTGTTAATATGACACCCCATAATCTTCCTATAATAATCTGTGTGTTTGTTTCATTGTCAAACAATTCCTGCTGCACAATCAGGATTTAAGCAACAAAACTAGGCACACAGGTTGGTCTCAGGCTCTTACCTATAGCAGATGGTATGATGTCATTTGGCAACAATTTTATGTATTTATTTACATTTATGCAACAATAGCACCTTATGAAACCATTACAATAATTTTTATTTTACAGCTGAACTGTACTATATTATGGGTATGCACTAATAATTACAATAATAAAAATAATGATAAAATAAAACAAAAAACAAAAGCTGAATTTTAAGTGAGTTACTTGATTTAGTTTTGAAAAAAATCAGATGTCACTGTCAGAAGAACAGAGGAGTCTGCTATTCACACATGTTGCACTGTAGAGCATTATTGCATGAGGTATGGAAGATTTCCTGCTTGTGTCCTTATGGCAGCGGTACTGAAAGTGAGAAAGTGCTGTGGAGCGTCAGATACTTGTACTCCTCCACCAGGCCATTTGGATTTACTCCTTCTTCTGAACATCATTACCAGTCTGGTCTTATTAAGTAAGCCTGCAGTAAGATGCAGTGTGTTTAGTGAAGTGTGGATTAATTTAATCCAGTGTAAATTGTGATTTAGGAAAGATTTGCATACAACTACAATGCATTTGACCTCATACTCAGCTCATATCAAAGTCTTTTTAAAAGTAAACCCCCTCATCATTGTACTTTAAGCTCTGCTGTACCAGCGATTCTTCAGTCAGTCATTCATATCACAACAAACTAAGTGCTACATACTGTGTGCAGCGAGCAAAGATATTTGGGACTTTAGCCCCCAAAACAAACAGACCTAAAAATGTGAGCCTTCATATAATATCAAAAAAGATATCAATATCCCCACTTCAGCAAATTACACTCAATGAGTGGACTGATTGATTGTAAGAAGTAGGTTTGTCTGACCAGCACTTCCGCTTTTGTGACTGTAAAGTAACAATGAGGGAAAGCCCTGTGTTGCTGCAAAGCGAAAGCAAGGAGT